TTCATGGAAATGGTCCACCAGGCATTTCTTTCACTGCACTGCTGGATGGGTTTGAACTGCCAGTTAACAGTTACGCCCTTGACCATTAGTCAGACCCAGGGATCTTCCCAAGACCCTACAACCAGGCACTTCCCCCAAGTACAAACTTTACCCCAGTCTAAGCAATTACCGATAGTACCCTGATTACCTTAGACCTTTTTAACCCTCCTAGACTCCCAGCATTATTCTAGTATCTGCAATGACCTTTGTGATTTTGAAAGCAATGAAAAAGAAATTAAAAACCTTAAAGGGGCTTGGGGAACTAAGTACCTCCTCTTTCTGTTACTCTCTTTGTCTCACCTTCTACAGAAAGAAAGTGGAATATTTCAAACACCAGATTCCTCCCCAGACAGGATCAGGGTGCTAGATGCTGGCGAACAGGTCCCACCTTTGACTCCTTGCTGCTCTAGAGGAGCCCTGGCATCACAGTGGTTACGAGCTGGGCTGCTAACAACAAGATCAACCGTTCAAACACACCAGCCGCTCCAAGGGAAAAAGACGGGGCTTTCTACCCTCATGAAGAATGATCATCTCAGAAACTCACAAGAGGGTAGTTCTACCCTGTCCTCTAGGGTCGCTATGAGTGGGCATTGACCCCATGGCAGTGAGTATGGTTTTGCTTGTTTCTTTAAGGCTGGGAAGTCTGACCTCTGAAAGGAAAAGAAAAAATAATAATAATAACCCTACTGGTTTTCATTGGACATTGGCTGGAAGTTCTACTAAGCCACTACTCAACCAACTAGACATTTCCTTTCAAAACACACAGGGGGAAATGGGCTCCCCTTTCTCCCTGACTCCTTTGGAAAACCCTTAGGAGGGCAGCTGGAAGCTGCCCCCACCACCTACCCTCGCCAGACAGCTTCCCTCCCTTCCACTCCTGCTGGTTGTGGAAGAGAATCCTGCCTTCCCAGCATAGGCTGTTCTAAAGCGAAGAAGAAGCTTCCAGACTTATGAATATGAAAGCATTGGGCACAGCTCAGTCTCTCCCACTGGAATATCTGCTCTCGTTCTTGCTGTGTTATCAGAGACTAGAACAGAGGCTGGCCCCTGGCAGAGGATCTGCCAGGGTTTGCTGAATGACAAGGACAGAGGAATGACTTGAGTGAATGTAACAAGTAAGCTTCGCCCCCGCCCCCAAATCGGAAGGAGCAAGAGACATTGTAGCGACCCTGCTCAAGAAATATTAAGAGTCTTGCTAAGAATATCTTTTGTTCACTTTGCTGTTGGGCAGAACTGTGCCAAAGACCTCATGCTCAATGAAATCTGCATGGTGCACCATGAACCCCAAGCGATCAAAAACAAACAAACCAAAGGAAAAAACCCACTGTCGTCAAGTCCATTTCAACGCAGAGCGCCCTTCATCGGCCCTTCAAGGCAGTGGTTAACTCCAACACATACTCTACAGGTTGCTTTTTCAGGAGAAATTCTGGAGATTCGATACTTACTTACTATTTGCATCTTCCTCTGCAGCCACTACTGGGTAGAATGTTACTTTTCAGATTCCCCGGAGGCACTTGCCACGTGCTCTACTTTGTCCAGTTCGTTTTCTTGCCCCACCCCACCCCAAATCAAGCCTGGGGATTTACTTTGGTGAGAGGTAGGACCGACTGGGCAGTCTGCCACAGGGAGTAGGCAGGAAGGTCTGGGGCGGCAAGTCACACCTGTGCCCCAGCTCTGGGACCTACACTTCGCCTGTGCTTCTGGAAGTGGGCACGCAGGCCCCTCCCCAAGCAGACTGAACAGAATGAGCCGAGTGGGTGCAGCGGCCAGGGGCATGGTGACCGCCCCAAGTTAGAATCTATCACTCTAAAGTCAGGTGGCCTTTCGTTACAGCCCTTTGGAAATACAGGCAGTCCCTGATTACAAGTATCTGATGGGCAAACCCTAGTGGCCCTTTAATGGTACGTGAATTTGCCCTCATGCTGAAATTACCGAACCAACCCCTTCTCACCGTCATTTCTTCATCACAATCCCCGTTATCACTTGCAGCTAGTACATCACTGGAAAAGTGTCATGCCTTCTTTATAAGAAACCCGCCCATTCCTGCATAGTGGATTTCAACTCACAGTGACCCTATAGGACAGAGACCTGCTCCATAGGCTTTGGGAGGTTATACATCTTTACAAAAGCAGGCAGCCTCACCTCACCTTTTCTCCTGAGGAGCAGCTGATGGGCTATAACCACCTACCTTCTGGTTAGCAGCCCGATGCTTAACTCACTGCACCACCAGAGTGCCTTCTTTGCACTACCCCAAACCAAATTCACCGCCATTGAGTCAATTCTGACCCACAGTGACCCGGTAGGGCAGAGCAGAACAGCCCCATGAAAATTTGAGACTGTAACTCTTTACAGGAGTAGAAAGCCTTATCATTCTCTCCTATGGAGCTCACTGGGCAGTTTCGAACTGCTGACCTTGTGGTTAGCAGCCCAATACACTAACGCCCCCAGGGGTCCCTTCTTTACACTACAGGAAGGCTACAGAAGAATCATATGAGCACCTGTTCTGATTTACCTGCACATGTGATTTTAAGATACACTGAGGACTGGCTTGTTCATAACCCGGCCTATCTGTACTTGCAATTTATCACTAACATTGCTGAGAACTTACTCAGTGCCAGGCACCACCCAGCCTCCTGGACAAAAGTCACCTGAGTGACTCCTCAGGTGACTCTTGGGCTTGTCCTTTTATCATTCCCCCGGTACAGTCACCACAGAAACTGGACCTGGGAGAAAAAGGCGGGAACCCACTGCAGGTCTCCAGCTAGTAGTTAGGGGGAATATCTGAGAACTCTGGGAGAGCTGGAAGGTGGGTCACCTATATTTTGGTCTTCTCTTTTGTCGATTCTTTTCACCGACACTCTTGCAAAGCTGTTTCCAATAGTCATTCTACGAATATGGCGTTTTCTCCAGCTTACTTTTCTGTCCTCTCCTGCTTTTGATTGTTTCTCCCTGGCCCGCCCCCAACATCACATGCAGTCTCCACATCTCTGTGGCCCCGGAGTCTGACCCCCTCCACGGGAATACACAGTATCTACCGCTTCTTCCAGAAGGCTTCACGGTGGTTTTGTCTGCCAGGAGGCTGATTCCTTCCTAGAGACAAATGACTGGTTTGTGTATCATAACTCAAATGATATTCCAAGATGACCCGTTCAGCAATGTTCATTTGCAATGCAATTATTCTTCCTAATTGAACTACTCTAGAGATAAATGAAATTTCTTTATCAACCTCCATCTCCTGCAACATGCTTGTCTGATTGTCATTTTTCTCTTTCTGGTATGTTTGCCGCACCCTTTGAAAACCACAACAAAGCCATACTGTCTAGCATCTGTGTGGTCACTTAGGGAGGAAATATACAGTGCTTTCATCTGCTAGGACCTCAAACGCCTGACAAAAGACTATTTGGTCAGAACCAAGTTTCTGACCTCAGTAAACAAGCCTGTCATGATGCCAGGAGCCCTGGTGGGGGGTCATGAGAGATGGGCTTCCAACTGCAAGGTCGGAGGTTCTAAACCACCAGACACTCCACAGGAGAAAGTTGAGGCTGGCTGCTCCAATCAACCTTATGAAATACTATGAATCAGAAATGAGTCAACGGCAGTGGGATCAAGCTATGACAACAAACAGAAATGAGAATCTTGGATTTTATCTCCCTTCCATGCTGTTGAAAAAGGTAATCTCCCCATTAGCATGCACTCTTGATCTGGTACATTTTAAAAGGAGGGATAGCGTTTACAGAGGATCAAGCAGGAGAGACGCAACTGGAATAACAGGAAAAAGGCTAGGACCAGAGATACCGCAATCCAATATGCTCTACAATCTGAAAGGGGTGGAGCTAGAAGGCCAGTGGACATGAAAAACGTACAGACAATACATAAATTGTGGCTCAAACTTAGTCACTCAGGGTTAAATCTGGAACAAGGCACTACCACGGCCAGCCCTGGTCCCTACCCCTTCCCTCGCCGGCGCCAACACGCACTTTGGCTATAGTGGCGGTTCTGCAATTTCAAAAAGAAGTTCTACTTTTACATGTGGGTCAAACTCCCATACACAGGCACACTCACACAATCACCGCAGAGAAAATGAGAAATACAGGAAATGGCCTGGGTGGGAGTGAGGATGGGGGTGGGGAACAAGACTTTGTCTTCGCTCTCCGATGACTTCCATTGAAACCGCTAGTGTACTTTTCATGGAAATCGGAACCTTCCTGAAATAAGAGAAAAGTTGAACCGGTGCTTGCAGGAAGTCCTTTGCTTTTTCGAGTTCAAAGAACACTGGATGGCTGAATGAGGGTGGGGGTGGGGGGACGCAAAGGTGCTTAAAAAAAAAATCCTAAGCCCAGTCTCCCCAAGTCCTTCTGCCAGCCCCAGGGCTCAACCCACCCATCCCAGATGTGGTCTTCCCCACCCCACGCCCACTGCCTCCGTCCCGCCCGCACCCCAAATCACTAGGTTTTCCACAAAAATGCAGCCCAGATCGGAGAAGCAGCTGACTTCTGTGGCCGGCGTGACCCACAAGCCACAGCCGAGGCCTGGCGGGCGCCACCCCGGGGCGTCCCCCGGGCTCGGTACCAGGCGCTCGGAGCCCTGCGCCGCGCTGCGTCCGGGACTGTGCACCGCGATCCCCGCGGCGGCGCCGGTTGCAGCTCCGTCGGCAGCGGTAGGCGAACGCTTGCTCGCGCCGCTTCCCAGGGAAACGCTGGTCCAGGCACAACTTTTCCCACTTGGGAAGCCGGAGCAGCGGTTCCCGTCCCATTCCCAGCCTCCAACCCCGGCGGGCGGCTCTGGTCCCTCCTCCTCCTCCCCACCGGCTCCCGGGAACCAGAGCAAAGTTCCCGCGCCAGCCGCAGCGAAGGGACCTCCAGGGACCCGGGCGGGCTGCCCTCTCCCTCCAGGCTCCACCTGGCCGGGGCTGCCGGTCCTCCCTCCCCGCAGGGCGCGCCGGGCCCGGGGCTCCCACTCACCCCACCGGACAGACGGCTGGCGTCTGGGTCGGGCTCCGACCGCAGCCTTCCCCACGGCGGCTCTCCCGTTACACCTCCTGGCAGCCACCTCTCGCTTGCCCCACTGGCCACTCCGGCAAGGAGGAGGAGGGAGGAGGGAGGAGATAGGGGAGGAGG